TTGGGGCGCGCAGTAGCCTATCGGATCCGGCCCTTGCTACCAAAGCATTGGACCGGGTTCGAATCCGGCGTACACCAATGAATATTTTCAATATTTAAGTGTATATTATTCTGCTCAGCCCAAGAAATACAAACAAGTTCCAATCTCAAAAGTTTACCTCCTACCGTAGTCGCTCATGACCTTAGTAGTTTATGCGACTTTAAACAAATTAAAAAAAAAAAAAAAAAAATAAAAATAAAAATAAAAATTTTTTTTTTATTATTCAAAACTTTCATTTTTTATGAAAAAAATTAATGCAATTATAATTTTTTTTCTATTTTATTAAAAAAAAAACTATAACGATAATATCAACGCCTAAATGTCTGAAATAAGACCCCTGCTGAGAGTTTTTGTCCGTGTTATTAAATAAAATACGCTACCGACTGTCTAGAGCCAAGAAACTTACTTTTCACAGTGTCATAATTATTGAAATATTTAATAATAATAATAATCATAATAATGTGTGGCATTTAAATATATTTCCTCTTAGAAATATACAAAATAGCGCAACAACTGTTTAATTCTAGTCCACAGAAATGAGCTTTACCCAATCCAAAAGATAAAAACATTAATCGGTTGGATCGGACAAATAGTGACACGATAAGCGAATTGATAGCAACTATTATATTAAATTATATTAACCGACGGTATCAGGTATCAAGCAGGTTTACTGTGCCAATAGGATCGTTAGTTATTCTCTTCCGTATGTATATGCACCGATAGCGACTTCAATTAACCCACTATCACGTGTTAGTCTGAAAGTAACGGGTTAAACTGTTTAGTAGACAGGGGGTATAAATAATATATAGATTAACTCGAAAGGCGCGTGCAAAAATATATAGTTTATCTCTTAGACTTTAGATAAAATATACAATGTACGTTTCCTCTAAAAGTTACATGATGCCTTCGTTAAAGGCGCAAAGATATTTTTTTAGAAAAATATTGAAAGATTAAGTGCGAATTATTACTTATTTTTTATTATAAGTCTTATTAAATTTTAATTAATATATACTAGCAACTTTGCAGTCAGTATGTGACTGCTGTGATTTGTGAACTATAAATTAATAAAATTTTACGTTATTGAATAATGAATTTTGATAAATTGCACTGTACTTTCTTAAATATTGACGTTTTTTAAGATATAAGCTCATTTCGAAGATACACTCATCAAGACCTTTCATTTAAGTACCCACATGCCATTTTTCATATATTTTATATATATGGTATTTGTGGAATATATAAATATATAAAATATATGAAAAATTGATGTGGGTATTCAAATGAAAGGTCTCGATAAGTGAAACATCAGGATGAGCTTATATCTTCAAAAATGTCAGTAGTTGACAACATACAAAGTCATTTCTTAATTATTGATATTTTTAAATATATAAACTCATTACAAAGTTACACTCATCGAGATCTTTCATTTAAGTACCCACATGCCATTTTTCATATATTTTATATATATGGTATTTGTGAAATATATAAATATATAAAATATATGCAAAATTGATGTGGGTATTCAAATGAAAGGTCTCGATGAGTGGAACATCAGGATGAGCTTATATCTTGGAAAATGTCAGTAGTTCACGAGGTACAAGGTTATTTCTTAATTATGTATCTAGAGATAAAATATTTTTGAATTCAGCCTAAATACTTATCCTAATAAATTGACTATTAGTGAGAAAAAATTTTTTTTATTCTCTTAATAATATAGATTAACAGTTATTAAATATTTGTTTAGATTTAAAAAAAAAAAAAACTGAGCTTAATAATTTAACTTTGACTTTTTTAATAATTCCATAATTTGAATAGAAAATTTTATTAGATTAAAATTAATTACTCTTTTTATAAAAATATAGATAAAATAAAATAAGTCATAAAAAAATGTTCTCTGAAAAAAAAAAAATTAATTTGATTTAAAATAGAAAAAATTTTTGAAAGCAATCAAAA